CATGGGATGGGCAGAGTTTGGTGAGTTGATCCTTACAAAGGGTTGTTTGAGGTGTGAGGGTGGGAAGAGATGCAAGGAGGAAAAGCCTCTCTGCCCCTTCAGGATCCTGCCACCAACATTCCTGGCACAGCAACCTCTGCTTGGCAAAACTAGGTGGTGACCTGCCTTCTGGATTTGTGTGCAGGAGGAGGAGGAGGAGGAGGGATGATGAGAACAGGCTTGTGTTTGGCTGCAAGAGGAGGGAGAAAGCAGGGACCTGTGTTTGCCACCACGGGCAGAAACGTGGAAAGTTTCCAGTGGGAAGGGGAGTGGCAAGAAAGAATAAAAAGTCAGTTGCAACAGAAAGAGCCAGAAAGGTTTTGTCTTTTCTAAGCAAAAATGTGGCAAGTTAGGTGCCTTTTCTGCATCTCTCCTACTGACCTGTTTGCATTCCCAGCTTGGTTCTCCAAAGGGGTTCAGGCTGGGCAGCTTCACTTTGTCAGGTGATGTTTGGTAGTTCCTGAGAGAGAGGATGATGTGAAATACGTGGGTACAGGATGAAACCTGCTTCCAACAGCAAACACTACACCCAGAAGGGACTCAGAGAGCCTCTCTAAAACCCTACTTTTCCTGCACTGCAGTGTGCATATTGCATTTCTGCTGCTGATCATTTGTTATCACTGTAATTTATTCCCCATCAGTGTACCCACTCCAGTGAAAACTGCATTTATAAACTTGAAAGCATCTGATTTGTGTTAACATCACACAAATGACTGCTCTGCTCCTTTTCTCACACTTTTGATTTTGCTCTATTAGCTGAGATCAAATGTCCTCAGTGTTTTCTATCAGTTTGCACCAGAACCTCAGAATTTGCCTGGAGTCTGTGGCCACGGCGTAAATGACAATATCAGAGTTTATTTTCTCTCCTGGAAAGCAAATAAACTGTGCTAAAAACAGAGAGTTAGATCATTGGCCATTGTGGAAGGAAAACCACAGCAGAAAACAAGCTGAAGTTTCCTGAGGAGCCAGTGCTGGGCCTATTTACATCCAGTGGGAACTTCCACCCCGATGGCAGAGCAGGAGACCCCTCCCTGAGAGGGGACTGGTGGGTGGGTGGGTGTTTTTTGCTGGATTTTTCAAACCTTGGTGAACAATTGAACTCCTGTGCCAGGTCTGCAGGTGCACCAGGGAGGGTCCTGGAGCTGCTGGAGCTGGTGCTGAGCAATCCCACCTTTTTGGGAGAGCCTTGAGGGCTTTCAGAGCCATCCCAGCATCTCTCCTGCCCCGTGCCTGCCCTTCCCTGGTCAGGAAGCCAAGGAGCCTGGCCAGGACACAGGGAGCAGGTCTCTGGCAGCACAGCCCTGCTGGGAACTCCTACAGGGCCGGGAAGGAGGGACACAAATTAAATTAGTTGGCACCTTCCTAAACGTCCCTCCAAACTAAAATTTAGCAGGGGAGTAAAACCAAACCGAGCTCAAAATTGTAGGTTCAACTTCCTGATATTGTTTTTGACTGATTACTTGGACCAGCCCTCCAAGGCCCACCCTCCAAATCGCCCCTGTCACTTGAAAAATCCGTCATCAGAGGGGAAATAATCCTCAACAAGTAAATGCCACAGCTTCCTCTCTTTGGCTATCACGATCTTGTGCTGCTTATTTGCTTTTCTGATGCCATTTTGTGCCTCCAGGCTAAATTCTGCCTTTCATGTACACGCAGGGGAAGGATTCCTCACCCACCCTTGGGCATCCTGCATGGAAATTTGGGCCAAACTGTACGTCCTGTGCTCTGGTACAGCCTCATCCAGATGCCAAAAGGGAAGGGATGGCTCAGAAGGAGGGTGTCCCCTGTTTTGTGCTAGGAAATGTTGCACCTCAGCGTGAGCCACGAGTTTCCCCGTAATCTCCCTAATACTTCAGAAGTTGGCTTTGATCCCCTGATATTATTTGAGCTAATGCCCAAACCCTATTAAGCAACCTTGTGACAGGGCCTGGAGGGGAAAAGGTTGTGCTGCTTCCCGTCAAGTATTAAAAAAATCAACGTGGAAAGTCGCTAAGTGTCAAAGCTGCTGCTCCCTCGGTGGCTGTGAGACCCGGTGACATCATGATGCTGTGGTGGCATCGCTGTAGGAGGATGTCCCTGGGTGCCAGTGGTTGCCCAGAGCTCTCCACATGGGAACAGGGTGTCCAGGTCCCTTCCCTGCCTGCAGACTGGGCTGGCACGAGGCAGCACTCCCAGCAGATGGGCAGAAACACTCCGTGGGTCCCTGGCTCACAAAGAAGACAGGCTGACTCCAAGAAGGCCCCACATCCCTCCTCAGAGGCCTCAGAGCAGAAAAATTTCATTCAGAGCTGCACTTTGATGTGTGTTTCATTTTAATCTGAGCACACTCTTACCCTGGGAGCCAAACACCTCCCGGGGCCGTTGGTGACAGGAGAGGGGACACCCAGCACCCAGGTTGGGACTGTCTTGATTTGACAAAGGGCAGGGATCACATGTAGAGACAATCAGTGGCAAAGGGTAAAGGGGCAGAGAGCCAGCAGGACAGACAAAGGGAGGCAGAGAATGAGCAGGGGCTTGTCGTGTCACTGTGACAGTACTGGAAGGTGCTTGTGCTCTCTGACAGCAAAGGTGGCACAAAAACCCCTCTGCAGAACAGCCCAGAGCAGAGCACAACGGGCTGCCTTTGTTCCTCTTTCCTGATGGGGTGACTCCAGAGCTTGGGATCAAGTGCCAGCAGTGCCAATCAGCTCTGGCTCTTCTGTTAAAAAAAAAAACAACCAAAAACAAAACCCCACACCATAAATGAACCCTCCAAGTTTACAGAAGTCAGAAATCACCAACCAGCTCAGCTTTCCTTGATCCCCACCTGTGATGCTGGTGCCCAGGACCTCTGGAGGAGGCAGGATGGGTGCACAGTGCAGGAGAGCACACTTGAAAGCACAAGTGAACACTGCAGAGGGCTGTTTGCTTTGCATTATTCACACTCTTCAAGCCCTGGCAAATTGCTTTTCCTCTGACCGTACTTCACTGTAATTTTTTCAAGCTGAACTGGCTTGGAGAGAATAAGTGTCTGTTCTGAATCTTCATCTGAAATGTCAATTGACTTTGAATCTTTTTGGAAGGCCCAGAAAGAAATAAAAGACTTCCAAGCATCTTTGTGCTTTTGGTCTGGAAGTGGCTTCTCTCACAGGAGAGCAAAGAGAAGAAGCAGATCTAGCTGGGTAATTTAATGTGCATAAGGTAATTTACTATGAGGCAACACTTCAGTGCTCAGTGCTTTTAGTTTCTGGCACATGAGTATCCTTGACTTTGCTCTTCCCTGCCCTCAGCTGTGTGTCAGATAACTCTGGGAAGAAGAAGCCTCCCTGAGAAGCAAATCTACAAGTCAAAGTCATGACTTTCTTTGCCCAAAAAGGGCCCCAGAGGGCTGGATCAGTGGGTGAGGCTGTTCCAGCGCTTTCATCAGCTCAGGTAAAATTAGCACTGTGCTAATTACCCCAGGCCAAATACACAGCTGGGGAAAGTGCAAATATTTCAGGGGGATGAAACTCGAGCTGGAATTGGCAGGAACCATCCCCCTTTATTAACATAAGGAGAGGGATGGGAGCTATTTCAGTCCCACATCCACATGTGCAGACGTCGATTCACATGCGACGCTTCCACTCTGCCGTGATTTTCCCCGCTGCAGCTTCCCAGCCCCGATCCCGAGGACTGGAGTGTAAGGTTCTCAAATCCATCCTCCCACATCTTTGGTCTGTATCAGAGGAATTCTGTGGTTCTGGGTCTCCTGTGCTATCAGCCATAGGTTTGCTGGAGGGAGCTGGGAAATGGCTTGTGGTGTGTCAAGGCGTGTGTGACTGTAAAGGACTATATTTGACTGCTTTACTTGGTACTTGTCCAAAAAGAAGGATAAAATGGGAGGGAAGGGAAAAAAGACCCTCTAGCAGAGTGGAAAAAGTGATCACTGAAGAGAGGAGGGTTTAATCAGCATATACAGTGAGTAATTCCAGGAACTGCAATAAACACTTACCAAATTTGGTTTCCCACTTCACATCCTACCACGGGTCACTCTGGACACCACCCCATTGAAATTGGTGGGGTCCCCATGAGTAAGGCCCTTGCCCTGTGTGGGCAAGGAAGGTTTTCCCTTGTATGCACCCACCAGGCTCTTTTTGATTTCCAGTTGGAGATCTGAAAAGAGACCTACCCATTGATGCATAATTCCTGTTTTTCACACCCCACTCGGGGCATGGCTGCTACAATGAGGTATTATCAGTCAAAATTTGTGCTGGAGACACCCAGTACAGACATTTCAGTGCAGGGCAGTGGCAGTGGCAAGGCTTTGGGACAGTCTCCTCCTTACTGTGGTCACATGAAGGCCAGCAGCTCATTTTGGCACCTGGGCCAAGCAGGGATCGTACTGCATGAACATCAGGCCAAAAATAGCCCCTCCCCTGTCAGGCAAGTCTGAGAGGCTTGTGATCAAAGATGGGGAAACACGAGGAACAAATGCAATGCCCAGTAGTCAGAGCAGAGCAGCTGCCTGACAGTTGTGGAGCTTCCTCCAGCCCCTGCCTGGAGAAGGGCTGTGGAGGAGGAGGATGATATGGATGGTGCAGCAGATGTTTCATTGGAGCTACTCCCGTGCGTGAGAGAACGCAGGAAGCCGCTCGATGGAAAATGTGCATCCAGAAAGTGGACATGGCACTGGAGATGAGATAATTATTAAGGCATTTCTATTTTGGAGCCCTTCTGTGTGTGTAGTTTTACATAATAAACGTCAGCATTGCCTTGCTACACGCACACACGTTCCCCGGGCCACACAAACAAGCAACCCTTTGCCTCCTGTCACTGATACCTCCCCAGGTCAGTCCCTTTGGCCACAAATAGCTCATTGCCCTATTTGAAAGGTTCCTGGTGGAGTGGAGCCAGGTTGGCCTGGCTATATATACCTAAGCTGGCAAATAGAGCCACCTCTCAGCTTTTGCTTCTATATATAAAGAGGAACGATATAGAATAAATCAGCTGAACAGGGGACACGTCCAATCAATTTTATAACGAAATAATGCCCTTTCTGGGTTGATTTACTGTATTGAACCTGAGGGGGCAGCTGCAGAATCTGAAACCAGACTTGCAGACTTGCTGAGGGTGGTCAGGCAATGCTGGGAATTCACTGAGAACAGGTTCTCTGGTTATAACACTGTTTTTTGGGGGAGTGCTGTTTCTGAATGGCCGGGGGGGTCCATGGATGGACAGCACTTTGTGCCACTTCGGGGGTGATGGTTGAGCAGCGCTGTAGAGCTGACCCTGAGGGAGTGTTGGAGCAGAGAAAGGGGGGCGGGGGGCTGAGAGCGGGGGTTCTTTGGGGCCGATGTCGCCGATGTCGCCGATGTGTCCCCGCGGACGCTCCGGGAGCGCTCCGCGCCCGCCGCAGTTCCCCCCATCGCCGCGAGGTGGCGGCCGAGGGCCCGCGCGGCGCTGCCGGAGCGGGATCGGGATCGGAATCGGGATCGGGATCGGGATCGGGATCGGGATCGGGACCGTCCTGCATGGAGGACAAGGAGATGAACGTCCCGGGATGGGTCAGGGCTGGGCACAGAGCGCTGTGGTGGGACAGGCTGTGCCGGGGAGCTCCCAGCAGACCTTAGAGCCCCTTCCGGAGCCTGAAGTGGGATGATAAAAAAGAGGGAGAGTGACTTTTTACACAGTGATAAGAGAAAGGGAAATGGTTTAAAATTAAAACAGTGAGTTTTAGGTTAGATATTTAGAAGAAATTCTTCCCTGTGAGGGTGGGGAGGCCCTGGCACAGGTTGCCCAGAGAAGCTGTGGCTGCCCCATCCCTGGAAGTGTCCAAGGCCAGGTTGGACAGAACTTGGAGCAACCTGGGCTAGTGGGAGGTGTCCCTGCCCATGGCAGGAGGTGGAACTGGGTGATGTTTAAGGTCCCTTCCAACCCAAATCATTCCATGATTCTATCACACATCTGGGTGCATTTGTGACAGTTCAAGGTAACTTTGTCTTATTTTGAATGAAGAAAATATTGACTAAGTGTGAATATCACAGTTTCAAAACCTCCTGGCTTTCTAGGGAGCAACATGAGCCCAAAACAGAGCTACTCAAATTCATACTTGTTTTGCCTGATGTTCATCCAGTTCCCCCCAGCATTTCCCGAGCCACCAGGATTCACCCCATAAAAAGCTTTAAATTTTGGGAGTAGCCCCTGTGTTGTGACTTTAAGCCCCATGGAAACATCGATCCATGTTTTTTAGCCCAGATAAAAGCTGCAACTTCTCCTTGTTTCGTTCTGGTTCCATTTCTGTCCCACTTCCTCTTGTCTGCCTGGAAGTGACTCCGTTGTCAGATGCTTCTTCCTTCCCTACTTTGGGCCTCCTCTCCCCACCACAGACACCAACTCTTTTTGTTTGCAGGTTCCCGGCTCAAACCAACAAAGATTTAAGAGCTAAAAAAAAAAGCTTACAAGCAATTTTTATTTCCTACACAAACACTTCTCATGCCCTGAAAAGTACCCCTCATTTCCTGAAGTGAGTTCAGACCTCCTGCACAGTGTGTAAGAAACAAGGGATAAACAAGGGGATAAATATTATGTCCCACATCTGAAAACCAACTTCACAAAAAATATGCACTAAATGATACATGATAATGGGGAAGGAGATGCCAGAGGCCTTAATGAATGGTGGTAAGCAAGGCTGGAAAAATAAATTATATAATAATCTCCTATTATATTGCCTTTGACATAAATTAATCTTGACCCGGAACAATAGTGCTCCTTTCCAAGGGAAAATAACCCAATGCAGTTTATAATCATGAGTCAGGAGTCCAATGCAAAGTGGTTTGTGTTTGCTCTTTGTTGTTAAGATTTTGCTTCATCTGGTGAATTTTGTGGAAAAGTTGGGAACAGGGAGAGCAACTTCCAGCCAGAACTGCCAGTTCCTGCCTCTTGGTGGCTGGGAAGAAGCTGCTGAACTTCAACCCAAGGTATTGGCTTTTTGAAGCTCCAAGGAGCACCCTCTGGAAGAGGGGGAGGATCCTGGTGTTTCCCCACAGCTCCCAACTCACTGATCAGCTCTGGATGCACCTGGATGCTTCCTTTTGGGCTGGTGGGCACTTTGATCCAATTCATCAAGGGAGACTCCAGGGTTAGGTCTGTGTTTCTGCTCTGGGGATGCAGCTGCTTTTACCTTTGCTGGGTTTCTGGGAGGTTTGTTTATTTTGGTATTGCTCAGCCCTGCAATGGGGATGAAAAAATTCCCTGGGAAATCCTCACCTAGAAAGAGCAGAGGAATGAGGAGGAACCTCCCTCCTACTGTCCAAAGCTGCTGTGCACCAGTGTCCTGCAGGAATCTTTCCTGGGTCCTCTCCTGAGCATGGAGGAAGTAAGAACTGGCATCTTTTAAAGTGAAAAACCTACTTTGCACCTTGTAAATCTTTCCATGACCTCTTAGTGCACGAGATACCGAAGCTTAAAATTATGGCTGAAGGGAAGAAAAGTCCACTGTGCTCTCAGGAGGTGTGTGGTGGAGACACATTCTTTATTTCAGTGTCTTTATTCACAAAAACTCAATGCCTGCTTTGCTGTACATCAGTACACACAGTCTTTATACTCTGAAAAATGAAATTAAAATATCAACCAGGGAAAGGCAGAAAAAGCCAGACTGATTGAGACCAGTGGTTCAACCAGTGGCACTGGCTGGCATCAGATGCTGTAGATAAAAGTGGGAGGAACTGTAGGGAATTGGAATTTTGTTGTGAATTAACATGCCCAGGAGAGAAGCTTCTTCCTGATCCTCATCAGTCAGTGGTTGCCTTACATGCCAACACACACATTGCCAGACATGCTCCTGTATTTTTATTTATCTGCACCAAGAAACACGGGACAAAGCCCTAAATCAGACTCTTGGTGCTTTCACTTTGCAGTAAAAGTCATTCTGAGGAAGGAATTTTTTCAGCCCAAGAGGCTCACACGGAGCAGAGCTGGGAGAGGGAAAGGCAGCTGAGCTTCACAGCTTAACAGGGAGAGCTGCTTTCACACACAGCACCTGGAGTGTGCACCTTTGGGAGGGATTTGGGGGGTTTTGGTTTCACATCTCAGTGGTATCTCGTCTCTCTCAGTACCTTTGCCACGTGGTCAAGCAGAGCCACGTGTGTAAGAGCTTGTAACGTGAGCAGTTCAGCAGATTTTGGGTTAGACAGCCCCTGTTTGTGAAAATCAGTGTTGGAAAGCTCCAGGGTGACCATCCTGCCTCAGTCCTGGCAGTGTTTTCCCCATCAGGCTCCCGAGAGCCACCACGGAGGTCACACACCCAGAGCTCTGTCACTGCTTCACCTCCTCTGTGACACCGTTTCCCAATTAACTTCAACCCTTTTGCCTCCAGTTTAATCCCATGTTTTCCTGTCCTACCCATCATGCACCAGGTTGCCCCTCTCTCAAACTGCAATTTTGTGTTTGAGAACTGTGTGTTTCCCGACTCCCTTCAGGACTGAAACACCTTAAAGTCATTTCCCTGCTTCCTCAACAACATGTTTTCTACATCTCCAGATTCTCTTCGAATTGCTCCATGTCTTTCCCCAAATGTGGTGCCCAACATGGAATAAAGTAACCCAGCCAAGACCAGAGGAGTGTGGAAGGATTATTTCCCATGTCTTGTAGGTTTATATTCTATTTTATACAATCCGGATGGGTTTTTTTTTTTCCAACACCACATAAGTACTGAGACCCTCATACATTTTCCTACATTCCTTCCCATTTTTTTTTTAGACTATTTCCCCAATGTCTGCCAGTGCTCAAATCCAGGATTGAAGAAGATGTTTTCTACTGCTGTTATAGATGGATGCTGCTGGTGAATCAGCACTTGAAATGGGCTAATTAATGATCTTTGGAATAACCAAATCCCTCCAGGTTTCAGTTTTACCTGAGGGGACGATGTGCCAGCAAAAGAGAAATGCAAGATACATTAAAATAATACAGCAATGTTACTACATACAGAAAATTTCAGGAAAAAAGACTCAGAATGCTACTTTTTCTTCATTAAATGTGATGAGCTCATAAAAACCCAATTAATTAGTCAGAATGATGGGAATGACTCGTCAGACCTAATTTTAGCAGCCTAAACTTAGCCAGCATTTCCACAACAGTCATCTCATCTCCTTCAGCAACAAATGGAGAGGGATGAACATTTCCAGGATAAGTGGGAATGCCTGCAGCTCCCTAAAAAGCCAGAGTAAGGTGGGATGAGCTCCCTTGTGAGGACAGAGGAGTTCCAGTAACCACAGGGAGCCTCAAGCAGCAGGCAAACACTGGATTTCTTTGCAGCTGAGGTCAGGTGAGATAAACCCCACCAACTCAGTGGTGGTAAAATAATTATTTTATATTAGTATGAAAATGAAACACAATGCAAATTAACTGTAATCATCAGGTGGGGAAAGCACCATGAGATATTGCTTATTAAATAATTACAGAGCAGGGAACTTCCATGTCACAGCCAACTTCAGAGCATCAACACTTGCCTTTTTTTCCAAATTGAGCTGACAGATGAGCATGTTGAATTTCTCTGTGAAGGATCATTTTTACACAGCAATTGGAGATAAACATATTTCATTTTGACAAAATCACCCTGTTTGCTCTCCAGATTGATCTTTGCCCTTTCCAAGAAGCACAATATACTAAAAAGAAAAGCGAAATGAAATGAAAGACGCTTTGATATCAAATATTGCACAGCTCACTCTAAACACATGATGATCCTCTCCTTGAGGCTCAACGTGATTTTGCTGGTTTCAGGCTGGAGGTCTTGTTTTGATTTCTGACCAGTGCACAGGAGGCAGCTTGGCCAACCCTCTGAGCCACCAGAGCCACGTCCCAGAGCCTCCCCACAGCCCCGAGCCAGCTGATATCCCACAACCCTCAAGATGCTGAGAGATCAGCACTTCTGGGAATGACTCATGGAAAAGCTCTCCAGGATCCCACTACGGATCCCACAGGACTGGGCAGGGTTTCCAAAGCCACCCAGTAACACTGGGGTCAGTTATTCTTCCCAGTTCACTCCCTCCTGTGAAGAACAGCCCCACACCTTCCCCAGCAGAACCCTGGGATGAGGGTTTCGTCTGAACTGCTGGAAAGGAATGGTTTGTTGGGATGGTGGAGTTTCAGAGCCTCCTAGAGAGACTGGGAACTGGCTTTCCAAACAAATTAGGCAGCTTTGAAAAATCTGACCTGGAGGGCACAGTGCATTGTTTTTGCTCCCTGCCAAGATCATTATCTGTCTCTGGGTAGCAAAGTTTACAGTGAGTTTGCTCAAGTGCAGCAGCTCCCTAAAAACCCAAATAGGAGCTGTTCTGCAACTGATACCCCCCCAGACCAGTGAGAAGCTCAGCACTGTGGGCACGCTGTCAGCGAGGTTTGTGACATAAATACTTGTGCACATGAGTTCATTGTTTGCATTCTGAGAGCTCCCGTGGGAGGGTCTGTCGGGAGTGATTTTAATTGCAGTCAGAGCTAGATTTGGGACTCTATGGAGAGCCTGCTCAGGGTCACGGCTGCTTTCCTGTAAGAAACCTCTCCAGAAGGCTGAGTGACAGCTGTCACTGGGTCTTCTGGGTCTTCACAGCTGGTGACCAGGGCAACAGCACTGAATGACTTTTGGCTGGTGCTAAATGTCTTGATCTCCAGTGCTGATGACTCTGCTTCTTTCTCCCGTGTCTTCTCGGCTCGGTTCCACTCCTGCTCCTTCCGATCCAGCTGCATGGCACTGCAGTGAGGGGCATAAACCTCGGTGGTCTCCTCAAACTGCAGGCAATCCACCTTGTAGTATTTCTTCTTCACGTGCAGGACATCGTTAAACCTGTGGCCCCAGAGGATCTCCCCGGGCACGTACGAGCTCCGGGACTGGTGCGAGGTTCCCGTGGAGTCGCCCGTGTAGACGAACGTGACCAAGATCTCAAAGTTGTCCTTGGCCAGGGCCTTCCTGTCCAGGCCGTACAAGGGGCTCTCACTGTTGATTTCGTGGACGACCGTCACCGGGGTGACGAGGATGATCTGGTCGTTCAGCAGCTTCAAGTCCCTGTACTCCATGGTCATCCTGCCCTCCTTGTCCTCCCTGTAGCGCAGCAGCTGAGCCCTCACGGACCCCTCCACCATGTGGTTGGGCCGGAAGTCGCCGATGCGCCACATGAGGCAGAACTTGTCGTCCCTCAGGCCGACCACGGCGTAGTAGCTGAAGCGGATGGTCTGGGCCCTCTTCCGAGCCGTGGCCATCTTGGCCAGGGCCGCCCCGATGATGAAGGTGTCGATGATGCAGCTGAGCACCGACTGCAGGATCACCACGAGGATGGCGGCCGAGCACTCCTCGGTGACGCAGCGGGAGCCGTACCCGATGGTCGTCTGCGTCTCCAGGGAGAACAGGAACGCCCCTGTGAAGCTGTGGACGTTTGCCACGCAGGGGGTCGTCCCCTCGTCGCTGAATAAGTCTCCGTGTTGGATGGCGATGAGCCAGAACACCAGCCCGAAGAACAGCCACGAGAGCACGTAGGACAGGGAGAATATCACGAACATGTGGCGCCACTTGATGTCCACCAGCGTGGTGAAGATGTCCACCACGTAGCTCTCCCACTCCCCGAAGATGTGCTTGAAGTAGACGTTGCAGCTGCCATCCTTTTGGAGGAACCGCTTCTGCAGCCTTTTCACCCCCTTTTCAGACCCTTCTTGACAGGTGCCTCTGTAGCTGACCTTATTCCCCTGGATGCTCACGGGCCTGTAGGAACCGCTCTGGTCCGTCGTCTTCCTCATCTCTGCCTCGTGGCATCAACTGACAGGACACACTTGAGGTTTTCTGTTTTCTTTGTTCATTGGAAACCTATGAAATGAAAGAGAAAGTTCATTTTTGCCTTAATTTCCTGGGGCAGGACTGTGTAACACCAAATCCAAGCACATTCACTCCGCGGCCATCACGAGCAATTCTTTTAAGAGTACAGACTCTGACATTCATTACACAACAGCTCTCAAAAACAGGCCTGGAAATATGAGGCAGCAAGAAATTAAAGTAGTTAGAAATGTCCTTATCAATCTTAATTGATTTTGAAATCAAAAACCTTTCTGGTGACCTCACTATGAGCATTTCTTCTAATGATCCCATGAAGTAACCTTCAAATCAGGATGGGCTGTCCTGAAAAATCACAGGAATCACAAACCCTCTTAAAGTTGGCCAAATATTTGAGGTAGTTAATTGCCTGTTGTAATTTTGCTTGTTTTCCTCCACTGGAAGAAATGCCTGGGAGAAATCCCTCATTTAGATGTAAGACTTCAGTAACATGGGCAGGTGAGTTCAGTGCTAATGGTTTTCAACCAGAAAATGCACCAAACACAAAATCATTTGTCATTATTTTTGTTTCAGTATTGCCCAGAAAAACCTGGTCATGGACGTGAACTTTATTGGGCTGGTGCTACGGAGACATATTTGTTCAATTTGTAGAAAATCATTTACATTTCAAATGAAAAAGAAACCTCTCTGGGGTCCTGGAAACCCTCTCCAATCGTTCCCTAAGGCAAACAAAAAAACATCCAGCTGCCAAAAATATTTACATTTTGATTAATGAGTTCTAAGCAAACATGCAGTGTGTTAATAAAAGTTGGGGGTGGCACAAATTTCGGAAGTGATGGGAATTAGGAGATTCCTCTGTCAGAGCAGAGAAGAAATGGATGTTGTTGCAGATTGCAACCACATGAACTCAAGTAGTTCTGGGCCATATGTTTAGTGGCTAATAACAAAAAGTTACGTTAGAAATTGAGACCTCATCACCTGGAATCCAGTGAAAAAAGGAAAGATTTAGCTGAAAAAAATCATTTACAGGATGCTTGTGAATTATTCATAGGATGCAGCACTGAGAAAGGCAAATCCTTTTCCTGCAGATCTCCAGCTCATTCCACCACATCCCAACCAGTCAGAAGTGATGGGGACACAGCAGAACAATTCAATTTTTTTTTTTTTACCAAGTTTCATGCTTCCCATTGATATTTCTGAAGAAAAAAAAAATTAATATTTTTGTGGAAAACCTGCCATTATTCTTCCAAAAGTTGCAAGTTTTCCATGGAAAAATGACAAGTACTTTTCCCATTTTCAAGCTGGTTTCGAAGCCTGAAAAGTCAAGCTTCAGACACAGGTTTCCAACGAAGCCAAAACGTTCATGGAAAATGAATTTAAGAAAAACCAACTTTCCTAGTTGCAGCTTTTTCCCCCACAGGTCTTCGTTCACTTTGCTGAGTATAAATGACTGCACACACTTCTAGGCAGAGGAGAGTCAGGCCCATGGAGTGTAATATATATTGGATGGACTAGATTAACAGACCAAGAACTCTCCTCTCATCCAAGGAACAATGACAAGCATGCAGAGACACCAGTCCAAAAACACTTAAAAGCCAAACATAGTTTCCATTTCTTTTTTCTTTTCTTTTTCTCCCTCTCTCTCTTTTTTCTTTTTTTTTTCCAGTCCAGAAATGAATGTGACATATGGTGTCGTAGCCTCAGAATGTGGCCTTCATTAAAAAACACAACATTAATGTTTCCAAAAATACTTCTTGGAATACAGTCTTTGGAAACATTCATATGACTTGCTTTACTCATAGCTTTAAACAAACAGTGTTTAGCCTGGTGTGTTGAAGACGCTTGACCTAACATTTTATAAGTCATATTTAACAACAAACAACAACTGGAAACTGTTGAGTTGTTTGGGTTGGTGTTTTTTGGTTTGGTTTTTTTTTTTAAGGACCTCATAATGTGAGGTGTGAAGATGAAGCAAATTGTAATCAGGAGCCAATGTAATCTTAAATAAAAAACATCCTCGTGAGGAGCAGTGGAGGAGC